ATGAAGAAGCGCTGTTCCCGTGCGGTACTTGAAATAGGCAGGAGCTGTAAGGTCAGTGAGCAAAGACGAGGAGGCACTGCTGCTGCTCCCCGGACTGCAACAGGCTGGCTGTCGCATGCTAACAATGTCTGCGGGGCACAGCACCGGCTTTGCTCTGCTCCCTACAGAGGCTCTTCTGCAGCTCAGACGATAAGGGGACGTGAGTCTCAAGAAAAGCAGAAATTGCCACTAGGTTCTGAATGGCCACCGCATGCAGCACAATACTGAATGCAGAATCCCAGAGGAATTTTTCTGAAAGGAAAATAAATCTCGGTAACAGCCTTAGGTTTGGAAAAGGAAGGTTTTTTTGTGTGATTACTTTTCAGAAGAGATACTCAGATACTGGACGATGGGTGACTCAGAAATACCACAGATACTTACTATTGTACTCTTTACAGAGTCTCTTCTATAAAACGATGCCAAACAACTTTATAAGCCTTGATGGATTGAACATTTCAACATTCTGTTGGGTCAGATAATAGGAAGATAATATTCACATTGAAGACAAAATACAAGGCTTTCCCACAGCCATAAAGCAAAATTAGAAACAGTAAGCAGTCCAAGCTTTTCATCACTGTTGGGGTAATCTGGTTAGCTGGAACATGCTTAGTACACATGCCAAGTACCAGCATTCACATCAAAACCCAAATCCGTTTCTACGTCCCTCTTTGCTTCTCTTTCCATGCAAAAAGCCTTATGTCACAGCTCTTCATATAGAGAATATTTTCTCTCCAGCCAATGGTGTCTTTGGACAGTGTTGAATCCTTCCTTGTGAAGGATGTTTGGGACTTACCCATCCTCCATAAGAAATATGGGAAGAGCCTGACAATAAGAAGCAATCTAACAATCCTTGCCATCATTATATGGCAAATGTGTTCTGGCATAAACCCATCCTACCACAACCTGGAACATACTATCTAGCTGACTCTGGATCAGAACTTTTATCTGCATGGGTAGTCTAACTGCTGGGAAGGGGTGCATGTGCTAATAATAAGCAAGTGTGTTTTCTCAGTGGGGTGATGTAAATGTTATGCCTTCCCATATAAAATATGGGGAAAAATTGCTTGGGAGCTGTATGCAGAACATCTCTTACAGTACTGTAAAAAATCCCCTTTCCCCTCAGGAAAATCAAACTACCTTCCGAAAAACAAATGCTCCTGCAAAAACCTCCTATTGGCTTCTTTCAATTAGACAAACATCAAAACAAACGAGAGCAGCAAGCTTCACTTGCATTTCCTACTCAATAGTTTCCAAACAAAATCAGCTGTGTGGCATATGCCGCCAAAACAA